ATGATCTCGGGCTGCTTCAGTAAACTGGCTACAGGAGCGATGATTATCTTGTAATACAAGTCAAGACTTGTTTTGAAATCTTTGGAATCATAGTCACGCAGCACTGAGCGCTTGTCGTGGGGAAGTGACGTCAGTTCGGTGTCATCTAAAGATCGATCTTCGCAATTCTGTTCGGGTGAAATGGCTTGGCTGCGGAAGGCTTCTTTAAAAAACTCATCTAACTCAGGGACTATTCCGGTCACCTTGTTTTGGTCCAGCTTCACTTTCTTTTCTAAAAACTGAATGGCTCCCGTTGCTTTAATTATCCAAAACCGTACATCATTTTGACCAACCGAAATGTACAGGCATGCACATTCTGCTTCTTTTGTGATGATCCCTTGAATGCCACACCAAGATTGTGGATCGCTTGAGATCTGCTCTTGAACAGAGTACCGAGCTGCCATCAAGTCGGCCAGGCCTCTTGCCCTTGTCAGCTCTTCGACGTAAAGGGCATCTTGCGACTTTCCAGTGGAAGAAAGCAGCCAACTGAGGAACTTGTAGGGAAAGGTGCCGTGCTCTTCTAAAAAAGATATTTGAAACTGATCGTTTTCTTTAAGGAAACCTCTCAAAGTGTCGAATTTTTGGATGGCTTGAAAAAGATGCGAAGAAGCCTCTTCACGATTACCTTGTGACGCCTTTAACACCGATAGATTACAAAGACACTGAAACTCCTCCAAGTTGAGTCCAATATCCCTACTTAATAAGAGAGCCTGTTTAATGTATTCTTCAGCCATGTCATATTTACCTAGCGATTGGAAACACAGTCCTAAATCGCTGTAATTAACTAGTTGTCCTGCTCTCTCACCGATTTTCATGTGAATTGTAAAGGCTTTCTCGAAATATTCTAGAGCCTTGTCATATTCACCACGCTTACAAGAGATTAACCCGAGGTGTCTGTAATCTGCTGCTTCTCCGCTTTTATCACCGATACCCTTTCTAACTGCCATTGCCTTGTCTAGATATTTTTCAGCCTCTCCATACTTGCCGAGCGAGAGAGACAAACCTGTGAGGTTTCCATAACTAATTGCCTCTCCACTTTTTTGGCCAATTTCTATTCTGATAACGAGTGCTTTCTCCTGATATTCTCGGGCCTTGTCATAATGACCAAGTGATTGGA